CCACTCCCACCCTCCCTCCCTTCTATTCCCTCTAAAAAAAATCAATGGAAAAAATATCCTCAGGTAAGGATTAACAACAACAAAAACAAGATTATAAATTAGGAAGGCAGATAAAATTTAGATATGCACAAAAAGTTCATCAACATGAAAGACTATGCTTGAATATCAAAATTTCTCCCATATGGTCAGCACTTAATAAATATCTGTTCATTTTAACTGGATTATATTAAAGGTGAGATCAATGGGTTTGACTGGAAAAAGTTTCTCTGACAAGACAATTACAACAGAACCAGTTTGGGGACAATAAGGATAATTTAAATATAGACTAATGAATCATGCTTAATGTAAGAAAAACTTACATTTTTTTAGAGATACACACCAAGTATGTAGGCTGAAATGACATACAGTTAGAAATTAGCTTTGAAATTCTTTAGGAAAAGAAGGGAGGGGGAGGGAAGAAAATTGAACAGCTGAGGCAAGTGCGGTAAGAATCTGAACTGTTGTGTCTGCGTGATGGGCATGTTCCCAACACACATCACACTATTCTTCACAGTGTACTATTAAATATATCCACCCTTGGATATATCTGAAACTTTTTAAGAAAAATTAAAGGTTTCTTCGACACTGGGGCTCGAGCTGGCAAGTGAGGCAGCACAGGCGGGATCTGAGAGGAGGGGGCTTGAGGCAGCCGCCTCACTGCTGGTCCCTGCCCATCTGCCAACCCACCAGCAGCCACGCTCCGGTTCCCTCGACGGCACAACACCGCAGTTAAAACTCTCAGCAGTTTTGAGTCCCTCAGTCCTCACCATGGTTAGGGGGATAGCTCGAGCTCTTTTCCTAATTTTCCTGAAAACCCAAAGTTCATGCTCTTGGCCCTGTTCCATCACCATCCATCCTTCTCAATTTTGTTTCTAACTCCATCTGTCCCCTAGTCCCAGTAGTGTAATAGACTCTGGCTGCACATTGTAACACAGTAAGAGGGAGACGAGCCTTCTGTTTGATACACTCTGGGCCAAATAACCTGTGTGAACTCAGTCCCTTCAAAGCTCTTCTGTCTATTCTAACGTCTCCTTGACACTTGAACGGTTCAACCAAGTTGGAAGGTGGGCCTGGAGGGAATAAATGCTCTAAGAGTAAATAGAGTTACTTTCTGCTGTTAATTCCCAGTCAGCCTTTCCCCCATATCTCTATTCCAACCTGAGGATTTCTGGATTTTTTTTAATAGTTAAAAAAACTCTTCCCATATAAAAGTGAGACATACCTGCATCACAAACTCCCGACGTCGAGGCATTCCTCTCTCTGAAAGCAAAACATAGTCTGGCTCCCTTTCCTTTTTGGCCTGTTGAATTTGAGCCAGGCGGCTAATGGGGTTCATTCCTTGACCATATTCTGGTCCAGCCTAAAAAACAATGTGAAGAAAAAATGTCAAAACATGCTTGTAAAACTTGTTATTGGATCCTTAAAGTGGTTCTCCTCTCCTCCCCTATGCCCCAAAACTGTGACTGGAGAAGATAAATGAGCGTCATTTATAAAGATTTATGAAGGAAAAGCATAAAACGGATCTGAAACTAAGGCTTATATGGGATTTAGGGCTCAGGGGTATTACTGATAAATCAGGTCAACTCTTCTGCTTTTAAATGCTTCAGTGTAGCTACTTCACAGTTCTGTTCATCAGAAACACCAAGAGAATAGAAGACGGCATGAACTGGGAAGAGATATCTGCAGTACATATAACTCAAAAAGACAAATCCAGTATCCAAAATATATTTTTAAAACTCTGAAAAACTATCCAGAAAAATATAATCTAAAAGAAAAACGCGCAAAAGACATGAACAGATATTTAACAGATGAAAATATGCTCAATCTCAGACTCAGGAAATGCGTATTCAACCCACAGCGAGGTACCATCTCACACCCATCGATTTAGCAAAGATTAGGAAGACTGACAGCCCCCCATGCTGATGACGGGGAGAAACAGAAACGTATACAGTTGCTGAGAGTAATATAAAATGCAAAACAACTGGGCAATGTTTAGTAAAGCCAAAGATGGTACCCGCACTCCCTAGCAGCATTTTAAATTTATTATTTAAAATGGACACCCAAATTTTTCAGGTGGGCAAAAGTTTTGAACACTTCATCAAGCCTCAGATGCTACTAAACGCATAAAAAATGCTCATGTTATTAGTCACTAGAGAAATGTGACATCAAACCACAATGAGATACCAAAGCCCATGTATCTGAACAACTGAGATTTAAGACTACACATTCGGAAGGCTGAGCACGCACACACGGCTGATGAAAACGTAAAACAGTATAACCCGAAGATGGTGGCACAGGTAAATGCAGGACTCACATCCTCCTGCAACACATCAAAATTACAACTAAATCACAGAACCACCACCATTCAGAACCACCTGAAATCTGGCTGAACAGAAGTCCTACAACTAGAGAATTAAAAAAGAAGCCACATTGAGACTGGTAGGAGGTGCAGAAAGGGCTGGTCCGACACCCATGTGTGGTGTTTTTTAAATCAGGAGGGATATGTTGGCTGTGGAGGTCAATGAGGAGTAAAGGGTCCCAGCCCCACACCAGACTCTTCAGCCCAGAGTTCAAGTGCCAGAAAGAGAAGTCCCCGTAACTTCGGGCTGGTTGGGTTATAAAAACCAGTGGGGATTGTGGCTGAGTGACAGGGAGGGTTGCTGGAGTCCTGGGCAGTTCCTCGTAAAGGGCCGGCACACAGACTTATTTGGACTCACTCCCTCCGAGCTCCAGCACTGGGGCAGCAGCTCCAAAGGCACTAGGGACATATGGGGGCAGGAAGGCAGTAACCAAAGAACTTATATGCATACATGCATTACCCACGGACACAGACAATAGGGTAGTGAAGGCCTGGGGTAGAGTGGGATGTGGGTGGAGGGAGGCAATGTGGGGGGAAAGGAGGGGATATCTGTAATACTCTCAACAATAAAGATTTAAAATAAAATAGTATAATCCCTTTGAAAAGTAACTCGCAGTTTCTTAAAAAGTTGAATATATACCTACTAAATGACCAAGCCATTCCACTCTTTAAGTATTTGCCCACAAGAAATGAAAGCAGGTGCCCATAAGACATACACATAAATATTCATGGCAGCTTTGTTTGCAACAGTCCCGAACTAGAAACATCCCAAATATCTACCTCGAGAGAATGGATAAACAAATTATGGTATATCCATAAAATAGAACACTACTTAGCAACAAAATAGAACCAATAACTGATACATGCAACAATATGGATGAATCTCAAAATGATTATGCTGAGTGAAAGAAGCTAGCCAAAAAAAAAGAGTGGTTGCTCAGGAACTTAGAGTGAGGAGATTACCAAAGGGTACAAGGAAACATTTGGGAACAATGGAGAAGTTTATTATCTTGATTGCGGTCATGGTTCATAAGTGTATGCATATACCAAAACACATCAAAGAGCATGCTTTAAATATATTCAACTCACTATATATCAATTACACCTCAATAAAGCTATTTTTAAAATCTAATCAAATATATTTTTCAGAAAAATGAACACGTAGTAAAAATGTAAAGAAAGGAAATGTTAAACACAAAACTAATGATGGTGGTTACCTACGGGAGGTGGACAGGATGTGACAGACGGGGCATACAGAATGCTTCAACCTAATGTTCTATATTCAAATTGGATGGTGGGTCTTTTTAACTTACATACAAGTTCTGTAAAAATCTCTAAAAGGCGCTCTATTTTAAACTTTATATAGGGTAATGTTTATGAATAAGTCTGTTTTTTAACTTTAAAAAAAAATTATATACAACTCTTTCTTAGTACCGTCTAAAAGGTTTAGAAACAAAAATATCTTTGGAAATATTCTTTCCGCATGTAAACTAACTTTCTTCATATATTATTCCTAGAAATGAACATTTGCATGTATTATATTGTCAGAACTTGATTTCACCTTGAAAATTTATTCTAAAACAGGTAACAGAGACAAGGATAATCACTGTTACAGATAACATAGGTGACATCAAACTTACGTAAGAGCCATTGTATATACAGTCTTAGCTCTTCCTGGGAACTGGTAAGTCTCCACCTTATCTAGTTTGGTGCCGCAGGTACAGCCTCCAGGTCAGATACTGAAAGGTCTTTTAAATTATGTTTAGGATTTTGGACTTTATCCAAAGAGCAATAGGAAATTACCGAAAGATTTTAAGCAGAGGCATGACATGATCTGAATGGCGTCTCTAAAAGATAACACTTTAAAAAACACCATTTGATGTCTAAAGCATCTGCATGAAGGCCAACTTCAAACCAAATGTAACAGTTCAGGTGAGAGATGACTGTGAGTTGGACCAAAGGGTAGCAGAGGGATGGAAAGCAACAGACCAACTTAAGAAATCTGTAAGTGATGGAACCAATAGGACTTGACTGATCGGATGTAAGGGGTAAGAGGGAAGTAAGAAATGACTCCCAGGTTTCTGTTTCAACAGCTGCATGGTGGTGCCAGTCACTGCGATGAGGAATGCTGGAGGGGAAAGCAATTTAGAAGGGAGCGTGGTGAGTTCTGGACATGGAGTTTGAGGTGCCTGTGAAATATTAAGTGAAGATGTCCAACGGGCAGGGCAGAGCACAGGAGAGTAGTTGAGAAGTAGGAAGCGTGCCGTCTGGGCCAGAATGGGAAGCTCAGCACTGCAACGGTTAGGGGGAAGGGGAGGAGAGCGAAAACGGAAATGTTTCGTGTTTGATAAAATACTGGTTTCCCCTTCCATTTACATGCCAAACAATAAAGATTAAGCACATTATAAAGGAAGTAGAGACGGACTAACAAGAAAAGACAGAGACACTATTTGTAAGTCTGAGACTGAGTATCAGTGAAAGGTAAAGCGGGCCTCTTGAGTCCGGCGCTGGAAGAGGTACACCTAGCTCGTGAAGATATTCAAGTAACTGTACTTCAGTGACTCCTCCTCTCTCTTCCTATTTGCCTCTTTCTAAGAATGTCTTTAGTGCCCAGGGTATTGTTGTTGATGCAGATTCCAAAGGCAAAGGCCAGATGCATGGATGCAATCAGATAATGATGGAGTTTTGACTCAAATTAACTACTGGCATCCTTGACAACTAAGTTATTCCCTGGATATCAGCTCTTAGGTGATCATTCTACAAACCAGTAACGAGAGAAAATTTTATCAGAAAGCCTTCTTTGCAGTCTTGTCTTATAGAAAAGAACATTAAAAACAGAATATAAGCCCAAAGACATGATGAGAAAGTCTTACATTTTAACTCTACAGAGTAAATCCACAAGGAGTTCCTAAAACAACCAGTTTCAAATGCGCCCTCGAGTCACACGGCTAGACCTGAACCCTGACTCTGCTGCACATGATCTTGGGTAAGCGTCTTAAATACCAAGGACCTCACTTGTAAAACAAAGATAATACCTACATCACAGAGTGACTAAGGGGATCCAATGAGAGAATGTGACAGTTTTATTATTTTTAAAAAAATCAAGGCAACTCATCAACAGATATTTTCTCTACTTCTACGGCATATAAAGAACTGTAGACTCTAGATGTGTAAGACATAAGGAAGTGACAAAAATGCAGAAAACCAAGGCACTATTCCAACCTGACGCATCTGTTTATTGGCCCACTATACCGTATGATCGCACTTATAATTATCGAGATTCCAACACATGGAATGCATGTTCCTTTCTCGAAATAATCTTACATTTCAGAGGCTGCCTACAGACTTTATTTTAACATAACACAGACATGCTACAAGTAATTCCAAGTGTGATGCAGGTGAGGAGAAATGTAGGGAGTGGGGGAAGGCAGAGCAGACTTCCCTGCAGAAGTCAAGTTTAAGCTCAGATCCAAACGGCGGACAGCAAGAGAGTTCTGGAATAATACCCTTACATGCTGGAGTTAGCAGCAAATAATTCTGAGAGTTCAAAATGCTTCTCTCCTCTCTGGGGAAGAGCATTCAAGCAGTAATTTTATTTTTAACGGCTACAGTTAAAATTAACATGAATTATATTCATACCCTATTACAAAAATGTATTGATCTTTTCCAGCCTAATGGTTTACTATTCTTCATTTGTTAAGATTAGATTTTGTTGAGTGCATTAGATGAAAGTTGCTATGTTACCATTCTGATTTAGAGCACTGTCCCTCCATCGTGGGTAAGTTACAGATTTTACACATAAAAAGATTTAAGAAAACAGACTATAAGTATATTCACACACACATAAAAGGTGATTAGACATAAAAATACTTAGTATTTATTGGGCACTTACTGTTTGTATTACTAATAAATACTAAGTCCCGCACACAGAGTGCTTCCCATTCACTCGCTGCGGCTCCTGTCACAGGGTCAGCATTATTCGTATTACTAGCCTGTACCCTATAACCAATTCAAGTGTCCTATAAAGACACTACACAGCAGTGCAGTGTGCAGAAAAGAACAGTGGGTCAGAGATCAGAGTAAGCCAGGTTACTCCCCACGACAGGTTACTCCAAGAGACGGGTGAACGAAAGCGAGCAAACGCTTTGGATGTTATATAAACCCTCGCTTGTAAAAACGAGGGTAACGTCCTCTACCTTAGTCGTGACGAGAGTTATACTAAAGGTGATCATCAACGGGAAAGTATCTTTTTAAGCCATAAAAAGCTGTAAGTACGTAAGGTATTATCTGATGAGCAACACAGGTATGCAAGTGTCAAAAAGTAGAACAGGATCGTTAGTGACCTACAGTCACGCCCCCCCC